TATTCCTAAAAAACCCCAAAGGGTTCTGTGTACCAAGCAATCCACACCCCCAGCATTCCCTCTCCACCATCCCCAGGAATCCCAGGATCCTCAAGGTTGGAAAAGACTTCCAAGCTCATCGAGTCCAACCGGTGACCCGTCCCCACCTCGTCCCCGAGTGCCACATCCAACCATTCCTTGGACACCTCCAGGGATGGGGCAGCCACAGTTTCTCTGGGCAACCCGTGCCAGGGCCTCCCCACCCTCCCAGGGAAGGATTTCTCCCCAATATCCCATCTAAACCTCCTCCCTGTCACTCTGAAGCCATTCCCCCTTGTCCTGGCACTCCAGGCCCTTGGGAAAGTCCCTCTCCCTCCTCCTTGAGCACCAAACCCATCCCAGGGAAGGATTCCCTGTCCCACCCAGGGAGCAGGAGGACTCACATGGTGGAAGAAGGTGGTCCTGATGTAATCCAGGTGCCCCAGCAGCGTGAAGAGGCAGCGGCGCAGTTTGTAATTCCAGACCTGGAATCACAGAGTCGTGGACTATCCTGAGCTGGAAGGATCCTCCAAGTCCAGCCCCACAGCACAGGAGCAGAACGATGACAGTCCCACCTCCTTCTGGGATTTTTTTTGTCTGCATTCCCACATTTCAGATCGATTTTTTCATCTTAAAAGTTGCTTTTAATTCGAGTTACGACAAAACTTTACTCTCGTGCCCCTGAAACAGGCGAATCACGACTCCCAAACTTATCCTTATCATCTTTTCCTACAACATTCTGAGCTGGAAGGGACCCACGAGGATCATCCAAGTCCAACCAGTTTCTCTGCCCCTTCCCTTCCTTGGGTGGCACCTTTTAGAGACCAAGGGCCCAAAAAGGAAATATTTTACCTTTATTTTGTAATCGTCACCTCCAGAAACAAACAGGGGCTGCTGTTTGTGGAAATCAATTCCTCGGACGGGTCCTGCAAACGGGAAAAGCAATGGGATGGTTGAAGCAATCCCTGCACCCCTCACAGGCCACAGTTTGTCCTCCTCCTCCCCCTCCTGCTGCTCCTGAGAAACCCAGAGCTTCAAAGCACAGCAAAAAGTTGTGTAACAGCCTGAAATTCCACCCCCAAACCCTTCCTTGCGTAGAATCCTGGAATATCCTGAGTTGGAAGGGACCCCCAAGGATCCAAGTCCAACCCCTGGCCCTGCACAGACACCCCAACAATCCCACCATGGCCCTGAGAGCTTTGTCCAAACACTCTGGCAGGTTTGGGGTTGTGACCACCCCTGGGGAGCCTGTTTAGTGCCAACCACCCTCTGAGGGAAGAACCTTTTCCCAATATCCAGCTGGGATATCCCCTGCCACAGCTCCAGATGTTCCTCCAGGTCCTGTCACTGCTCACACAGAGCAGAGATTGGAGCTGCCCCCCTTGAGGAAGCTGCAGACCCCCGAGACCCACCCCCAAAATTCGTTCCTTTCCACCGGGATGTTTCTGCAACCACCACAGAGCCCCCAGATCCGTATTTGGAGCTTCACCTTCCCACCAGGAACAAACCTCCCACCCCATTCCCTGTGTCTGCAGCGCCAGCAAACTGTCCACAGGGAAAACAGGGCTAATCCTCTGGGATCAGAGGCCTCAGGAACCTCCAGCTGAGGCCAGTTCCTCCTCCTGCAACCCCAACATCCCTCCCCAGGCAGCTGCCACCCTCCTGCCACCCCGCTGACCGTCGTGCTCGTCGAACTTGTCGATGAGGGTGCACATGCGATAGTCCCACAGCTGGATGACCCCATTGTGGAGGCTGGTGAGGATCCAGGGCCGCTTGGGGTGGAAGCTGAGCCCTGCGGAGACACACGGGGGGCTGAGGGACCAGGGGATGCCCAGGGGAGCTGCCTCCTGCCCCGCTCAGGGACCCCAGGGCTGGGTGGGATCTCGTGGCTCAGCCCCCCGTTGATCCCCCGGCACAGCCCCGCTGGCACTGAATCAGGGATGGATTAATTAGAGAACCAGGGAATGGTCTGGGTTGGGAGGGACCTTAAAGACCATCCTGCCATGGGCAGGGACACCTTCCACTAGTCCAGGCTGGTTCAACCTGGCCGTGAACGCTGCCAGGGATGGGGCAGCCACAAGGATGGATTTAGGTTGGAAAAGCCCTCCTGGGTCACCGAGTTCACCCCTGTGCCCCATCCCCACCTTGGCCCCAGCCCAGAGCACTCAGTGCCACGGCCAGTCCTTCCCTGGGCACCTCCAGGGCTGGGCACTCCCCCACCTCCCTGGGCAGCCCCTGCCAAGGCCTGAACACCCTTTCCAGGAGGAAATTCCTC